AGGCACATAGTTCCTTTCCTCTTGGATTTTTTTTCCTTCTAAGTGTTGCTCTACTTGGCAGTAGGTGCCTTCAGATAATCTGAGTTCAGTATTTTCAGCTGGTGAGCCTCCACGTGTTGTTCTCCTCGCTCTTAGTCAAAGGCTTTGCATAGTATTTTGGGAAGGGGCCACGGCAGGTGTGTGCTGGACTGTAAATGCTAAAGCAAGACAATGCATTTCCCACAATTAATGCTGATTCGATGGAAAACAGCAGCCAGCTTTTGAGAAAGCATTGACTCTGTGTCTGATGCTCTGTCCTAATTAAAAACTCAAATAAAATGGTTTTACAAGGAGTGATGCTTTATGAAACACATGTAAGTCAGGCACTGTTCCAGTGCTGGAGAACGCAGGCATGGCCTCCTGCCTTACCGAACCTCTCCTGGCGCAGGCAGGTGCAGCTCTGCTCTCCTTACAAACAGGTTATGATGCCAAGCCCTGCCTCCGAGTTTGAAACCAGTTCCCAGCATGGTATGCTAATGATTGATGAGCATTTCAACCAGCAAGGAGCACCTCACGTGTTTTACAATCTGTATATTAAAAACCACTGTGGCGTTACAGATGTCTCTTCTGTTTTTCCCTCTGATGTGGATTTCAGTGAGGTCTGTGTAGTTTTCAGCTGAAGCTAATAATCCTTTTGCATGGAAAATAAAGTTACCTTCCCCAACAGAGTCTTTCAGTGCTTTCCATGCAGTGCCTGGAGGCACATTTATCTTGGCTGTCTCTTGTAGGTTGTTTTGGCTTTGTTACTTCGATTGTCCCTTATGTCTTCATGTCTAGAACCCAGAGGAGTGCTGGTGACTCGAGGGTTGGGAAGACCCCTGGACAAGACAGTAATATACCAGTGTGGGGTTTTTGTTGCTTTATTGCTGCTAGCTCTGAGGTGTGATCAGCTAATGCGTGTTCAGACTGCTGGTTTATCCTCACATTTCTAATCTATCCTCTGCTTGGTAGAGGAAACTGAAATTAAATGTACAACTTAAATGTACAAATCAGAAGAATATTACCAATAAAAAGGATGTTTGTAGTAAACGTGTTTAAAGAAATCAATCTTTCCATAAATTCTTTACTCAATACTGATTTTACTTTACATGCATTGTTGTATCTAATACAATGTAATTTCTCAAAAATGCCTGTTTGCTTCTTGCTTTCTTTGATTTCTAATGCTTGATCTCCCGTACTAATTTATTCTTCCTTGCTTTTTTTTTGTTTGTTTTTCTTCTTTCTGCAGCTGAAGAATGCATTGCTGACTCTGACCTGAACTTTCTTATTCCCATCGCAGTGGGCGTGGTGCTTGGATTCCTTATCATTCTTGTCTTTATATCTTACATCATTGGAAGAAGAAAAAGTCGTACTGGCTATCAGTCTGTATAATCTCCTAATTCCATCTCTGTTGCCCACCTTCCCTGTTCTTTTCCCTTTCCCAGACTTCCTGACCTGCTCCTTAAAAGAAAAAAGAAAAACAAATTAATTCAAGGTTTCTTTATTTAAAAAAGTTAAAATTACTTCGTGACAGAGTACCAATCACTTCATGACAGAATAACATACCATGAGTCTGAAGATGAGTTGCAGAAGCTACTGTGTGACTTTAGAGAAAGTAAGTGTTCTGAGGACCAGAGAATTGAGCAGAGTTGGTGTGTCCCTGTGGGAAATGTGATTATTTTTAGTAAAGAAGACATCTACAAAACTTTCTGTTGTTTAATCTTTTTATACAAGAAAATTTCTAGATGCCTACAGCTTGTCTTGGTTAATGCTACAGCAGAAACTGTAATTTAAAGTGTGAATGCTGTGTCAAAAGGGACTGCATATGCAGTGGGAAAATAAATACCCAGCTCTCAACAGACTTCTGTTGGGAACTTGACAATGGCTGTTCTTCTGAATCAGCCTGAGTTTCGTATTCTTTCTCAATGGAAAAGTAGTACCTGATCTCACTAATACCCAGACATAATATGAGAAGAACATCTGATTCTTCTAGTAAATTAATTTAACATCATATGGAGAAGCTGATTGCTAATGTAAGTTGGATAGCTTTGCACTACCATGGTGTCTAATTTGCCAAGATAAGTTTAAGGTCTGGAGAACTTCTGGCTACTCAGAAAAGGCAACAGTCTGCTGAAGGAAATGTCTCCTGTGCTATTTCGTTGAACTGCATTTTTCCTTTTGTTCTGAGCTCAATTGTGAAATGAGGGTGGGAGGCTGGAATTTCACTAGCTGAGGTTTCTCTCAGCTTTGATTCTGAACACAAAAGAAACTACACAGTATTGGTCCATGTGAGGCTCAAAAGTATTTTGAGAGCACTCTGACTGACTGAGAACACAGATTGCTCAGAGATTCCTGCAGTTCCTTTGGACAGCTTTCATAGGTTAACAGGATCAATCAGAAGCTGTGATCTCTGAATGCAAGTGGAGATATAAAACCTTTCAGGTTTGATAGAATTAATCTGCTTTTAACCTCCTCATTATTGCTGTCCCAGTGTAAGAGCACAAAATCTCTAGCATGAGGAATGCTGATCATAAAGCAGAAGTGAATATATGTATAGTGAAGAAAGTGACTTCCAAAGGAATAAGAGCATCTTACCTGCTTGAAGATGCTTTCTTTGTTATTAGTGCCATACCTTTGCAATTCTATGTTCCATATCTAAACTGTACCAAAATCTAATTTAGTTGTTTGTGGTTGTGTTCTGCTTCATTCCCATCAGGTTCATGTTGATGGAATGAAAGAAGCCTGTTGCTCTTTAAACCTTTTTGGTCCATCTTGGCAAAAGCCTTTTGCAGCCAGTAAACCCTGAGGGTGCACAAAGTTCTGTCCTCTGCAGCAAGTGTTTACTAAGGCTTCTTCAGTATTTAATCTTTGTTCATTGACCTTGTATCCATATTGTGGGGAAAGCACCTTCAGTAATGCAAATACACAAAGGTGACAGTCGACACTGATGTTTAAGCAACTCACAATAGCTGTGTGTTCAGGGAAGGGGGTTTTCCAAAGAGTTAGTTTTGATGTTTGAGAAATACCTGTACATTCAATTATTCTTGTCCTCACAGTGACCAAAGATACACTCTACCTGATTCTGACAAAAGTGATTCCATTGTACAAATGGGTTCTTGGACCAAGTGTTTGGGTTTTTTTTAGGAATGTAATTAAATTCTGCTGAGTTGGACTCTGTGCTTTAGGTTTGGTTGTCTTGGTCTCTTGTATCGTACCTTTGCTCTTGCAATACTTGATTTCCCTGCCAGTGCTAAATGGAATTATTTCAGGTGGCATTTTGTGAGTACACCCACTTGTCAGTGTGATGCTTCTCTGCTGCCAGCAGATGGATCACAGCTATGTTCTGATGCTGAGATTGCAGCATGAGATTGAAGTATTTAATATGACTTTTGCTAGGCTGTCTCAGTGAAATGTGGTCGTTTCCTAGATGCAAACACATACACATATATATACTTTGAATATACATAGTATTATTTTGAGCTTCAACAGAAGTCAAAAATTGATCCAGCACTTTAAGGTTGTTGCAGCATGAAGAGTGGTGTGTACAATTTTCCAGATCTTAAAATGATTGTACAAATATGCTGACAGCAGGATATGTATATGGAAAATAAAGTTAATTATCGAGTTTATAAAGCTTTGTTTCAGTGTAAGTAGACATGAATGCCATTTCTGAGAGCTTTTCCAGAGGGATTGTCAATGTGCTTGGATCTGGATATTTGTGGAGAAACAGAAGCTTTTGTTTCTAAGCTATTCACACATTTACATCCAAATCAGTTGATTTTTGTGTTGATTTGGTCAAAGTATGTGTCCAGCGTCTGCTAAAGGACCTCCTCTTCCAACAGACAGATAGGGAATAGATATTAAATAAAGTTTTATCTTGTTGCTAGTGTGAAATCTGTTAATTTGATAGCATGAAACACTATGAGTTTGGTGTCCTTTCAAGACCCCACAAATAGAAATACTTTAAAAGAGCTATAACAATTGGTAGACAGAGAAACGCTTGTGGGTTTAACTTATTTCTGATGTCAAAAGACTAGTCACTCCCCCAGCAGTATCCTCATTTGGCAGAAGCCAGTTTCCATTGCTCAGAGGATGCCCTTGCATAATTTGTGCAGGCAGAATGAATATGCTGCCCTGGTTCTATCAGTGCCATCTGGATAATGACAACTGAGCAGAATTAGTTCCTAATCTCTGGTTCAGGTATTTAACAGTTCTTAATAAATCGTTTTTGCCAAATGTTGGTTGTGATGCTTGGTGAAGAGTGAGTCTTACTGTACTGGGCTCCTGAACTCTTTGGCCTGGGGACGTTTGTCAAGTGCTCGGAATTCCAGGATGTTGTTACATGCTGCTTGGAAATTCAGTCCCTAACTGGCAGCACAAACTGCATCTCTTAACACCAGTGTTTCAGGAATGCCACCATAGAGTTAACTTTACTGTAGTCACTTTATTTTAAATACAAAAAATCACTTCTTAGAGACTGATATAGATCAGGAAATGATGGCAGATGAAGTTCCTTGGCTGTGGATGTAGGACGAACATACCATAATACCCCTGTTCAGTCAGTAATTTTAGTAAGTGTGCTTTCCAAGTAGTACATTATCCCAAGGTGTCCTGTCCTGTCCTTCTGTATTCTCACAGCTCCCAACAAGCAGAGTGCAGCTGGTCTCTGTCACGTCCGAGGGAGGCTCGGGCTGCTCAGGGCAGTTCACTCTGTTTATCATCAGCCTTTGGGGGTGATAAACTGATGCCTTCACTTACCCCAACACTGACCCCTTAAACGTGAAAGGACTGAGCATTTCCCTGCGTTTTGCTGCAGCATTATAGCTGTGACCTCTCTGCAACAGGGAAGAACAGGTCTGAAAGCTTTGGGCACTTCTGTGCCTGATCAGGGGGCACCAGACGGGAGGAAGAGCTCCTCTCACTCATCCCTGTCCAAGAGACTGCGTGAGGATTCCTGGGGCAGAGAGAAGGACTTTCACTTTAGAAAGGAACAGCTGGAAGGGTTCAAGGGCAAATGATTTTCTGTGGCCCTTGCTCAACACCTTGGGTGTGCTGAACAAGCTCTGTGAAATGCTGCAGTCAAGATGCTTCTGGGGCTGGAGATCATAGAAGGCATTTTGAGAGCTGCTGTTTTCACTTTGCAACTCTGTTATTGCAGGCATCATCTAGAATTTTTGCTGTTTATTATTTTAACAAGAATAGTGCTAACAAACTACCTCATTTTTATCTTTTGCCTGAAAAATGCACATAAAACTATGCTAAAAAATAAAATTTAAAACAGGAAAGATGAATTCCACAGGGATCACTCATAAAAGACCTTATGAAAATAGTATTTGGATACCAGAGGTTTTTTTCAAACAAAAGTGAAATCTTTTGCAGGTTCTCTCCTCAGGGGAAAACTTTTAAATTTTGCTAATAATGATTTCCATCAGAAGATGAAAAATGTGGATCCACATTTCATTGTATCTCATTGGTTTCCTAACTATGAACAAAAAATAAATTAACAATAATCTCCATGTGCCTGTTTTTCCTAGCAGAAAAAAAAAGCTGGCTTGATGCTTTAAAAAGGAAGAAGCCTCTGACTGACTTGCTAAGTGCCTGATGTTGGCAGGGGCTACTTCCCAATGCTGAGTGTGAAGATGATTCGGCCCAGGAAGCGGTCACTGTTCAGGTCGTTGATAATTCCTTTTCCATTCAGACTGCACTGGATGGGGACCAAGTAATTCTTCTGCACATCTGTAAAGTGCATAGCCACCAGTGGGGAGGTGTAGTTGACCTGGACAGACGGGAGATTTAAGTGTAATTTTTGAAGGAGCAGAAAAGCAGGCAGGACTTTTATGTTCAGTAAAATAATTTATAAATGGTTCATGGTTCCAGGCATCTGAGACCGTCTGCCTGATGTCCATCAGGGTCCCTCAGCATGCTGAGCCTTTCTGTGTCTGTGCCTTAGCAAGATGGGATCGCTACAATTGCCTCTTGGGGTTATTGACGGGACAACACCAGACCATACGACTCTCAAATGTTTTCTGCTGTCCTAAAACCCACACACACTTACACCATTCACACTCACTCACACGCCATTACACACTCACACACACAGACACACACACACACCATTACACACACTCATACACACACAGTTACACACTCACACACCATTGCACACACTCATACACACTGTTAAACACACACACCATTACACACACAGACACACACCATTACACACACTCACACACAGTTAGACACACACAGTTACACACTCACACACCATTGCACACACTCATGCACACACACATTACACACACACACAGTTAGACACACACGCCGTTACACACACATCATTACGCACACCATACACAGACAGACACACATTACACACACACCATTACACACATTCATACAGTTACACACACACCATTACAGACACACAGTTAGACATACACACAGTTACACACTCACACATCATTACACACACCATACACACTGTTACACACACACACAGACACAGTTACACACACAGTTACACACTCACACGCCATTACACACACTCACACACACTCACAGTTTGTCAGACACAGAAATAGAGTGCTGTAATCCCTGTGCCCATGGCCTCTGCCCTGCCTGCATCTGCCCAAAATAGCCTGGAAGCACATCTGGACCCTGTGCAGCAGCTCCTGCCCTCCCATTCCCAAGGAAGCATAGCAGAGATGTCAGACCCTTACTCACATGGGTGAACTTGCCATAGTAGGGATAATACATGAGGTCAAAGGTCCCGTTCCCAGGGTAGAAGTCCACCGACCTGAGGTGACTCTCATTGCCTTTCTGTGATCAGAAAAAAACAGAGGCACATGCACACACGCAGGACATGGGACACAAAATACAGCTCCCTTCAGAGCTTGTCTCAGAGCAGATGTCCCTTGCCAGCCCCTGGCTCAGCTCAGCTGTGCTGTGTTTGCTATGAACCCAGCCACTGCCCTGCTTCCAGCCAGGGAAGAGTGGAGCTATGAAGGCATGGCCAGGATTACAGTTTGCTGCCTATTGATTCCCTACTGTGCCTTTGCTCTCTAAGATGTGATCCAGCAGCTGCCTGGGCAGTGGGAGCATTTCCTTCACCCCATTGCTGTTGGCTTGCGGGGTGCCCTCAGGACTGAGGATGCTGCAGAGCAGCTGGAGATGGATATGAGGAGTTCCTACATCTTCCCACTGAGCTCCAGGCTCCAGCTGGGACGTGGCACCCAGGACCCCAGGCTGCCCCAGGGGCTGAGCATGACGGTGCCTGTGAGGCTGCAGGACCAACATGGGAAGCAGGAGACTGACGACCTCTGCCACTCCCAGCAGACTGGCCTCCAACACATGGGCAGCAATGGGTCCTGTTTGGGGCTAAAATGAGGGCAAATTGTGCTGAGGTCCATCAGGAGGAGGCATTTGGCCTTGTACCCACCCCACTGCTGAGCACTGAAAGCAGTACCTGCACTTTGCAGTCCACACTCACGGGGACCCCGGCACCAGGGCGGTAGCCTATGATCTGTGAAAGCAAAAGACACCCATGCTTATATGAAATGCCGTGCCAAGCATGTGCTGTCTCCCTTCTGCAGGGCTTAAACCTTTCTGGGTGCCAGACACACTGCTCAAGACAGGAGCTGCGTGTCCCTGCAGGAGGGTCTGCCACCCCACACAGTGCAGCCTGCCCATGGATGAGTCCCAGATTGCTGCCTGAGAGCAGGGGCAGAGCAGGGAGCACAGAGTATTTCCAGACCCCCTGGGTCTGGACACAGCCTCTTCCCCACACAGTTCACAATCCTCCCCATGCTTATTTTCCCAGCAGTGAGCACTGAACCACCATGCTAATAGACTTCAATTCAATTGAATTAAATTCTAAGAACACTTCCATTGTAAAGCACCTGAGGTCTGGGGTGTTCCCCTAAAGCTCAATTCCTCATGGGGAAGGGCCTGGTTAAAGACCCTCCAAGCGTTAAGGCCTCAGCAAATCAAATGCATGCAAGTTTTATAGTGGTTTTTTATAAAATGTTTTCTAGCAGATATGGCCAGAAGGTTTAGGAGTTCTAGTTCCCTTTTTCACTGAGCCTGAGAACTGAAGGAGTTTTAGTCCCTGTGTGGTCTTCATCACACTGGGATCTCCCAAAGAAAGGAATTAAAACAAGCAGCTTTCTCTGTACCCGGTTCATCTTCAGCAGGATGCAGGGCTGGCCTTTCGAGTAGCCAAATGTTGGGTCCTCGATGCCAGAGCAGTTCTGCAGCAGTGAGCGCTTGAACTGGCAGGCCTTCTTCTCCTCACTGTCATTTCCCCCTTGGATGAAGTACTGTCCTGGGACACACTCAATATTCTTCTCCTCCTGAACTTTGTCATCATAAGCTGGTGGGGACCAAGAGGTTTGTTAAAATCTCCTGAGACCTGCCCAGACCCAAGCTCTCAGAGGACATCCACATGTGAAGGGCATTAGGAAGTCATACCTGGAAAGGAAAAGCTCCCTCCCGCAGAAGCTCCCACGACCTTGTGAGCCTCCCTTTCCAGATGTGGCTCATGAGGTGCCCAGGAGGAGACCCCTGCACCACATGCCTGTGTCTATGGATAAAAACAACCTCACCATGGCTCCCAGGGTGACAAAGAGCTCACCTGCTAGGAAGTGGTGCATGCTGTCCACGTAGGGCTGCCACGTGTTGGGCTGGGAGACATTGAAGGCAATGGTGAACCCGTTCAAGTACGGTCTGATCATCACTCCTGAAGAAGGAGACAGACCCCGATAAAGCAAATGTAGGTGGGGCAGCCATGGGCCTGGGCTGTGTGTTGCAGGGGCTGGTGCATTGTGACTGGGCTTGGGCCGGGCACAGACATGAGAGGCACCACCAGCTCACAAATCAACTCACTCCTCAACCTACTGATCCCTCACCTTAATTTCACCCCTGGAGAACACCATACACATCAAATATCCCAGGAAACAAGGGAGATATGGAGAGCTTCAGTAGTGTTGTGGGTTAGTGATGGGTTTGGGGTTGCACAGAGAGGCTGCGGGTCCCCCATGTTCCCAGCAGTGTGGGCAGTTCCAGACGAGGAGCAGGACAAGGGGCTCTTCTGTTTCCCACCAACACAAAAACATGGGGATAATGCTGTGTCTGACATAGGAAAAGGATTTTCTGAACATTCTCTTGCCAGAACTCCCCCAAATAATAATGCATAAAAGCTATTCTTGATTTGCATTTTATTTTGAAGGCATGAGGTATAAAGGGCCAGCAGCTGAAATGCATCAGCATCACCTATGAAATACGTAACCTTGGCTTTTGTGTTGAGAATAATGATAACAATAAACAGTGCAATTAGAATAACAATTAGTGTCATGAGGGGGAATGCTTCTCATGGGGGAAGATGTCTGATCCTCTGCAGAGAACCTGCAGCTCTGCCGGTGCCCTCAGGTGAGAACATCCTGTGTTAGGGAGGGCTGGGTGGCTGTAGGAGTTCACAGCTCCAGCAGGGCTTTGCTTGAGGTGCTAGCCATGCCATTTTGGTAGGATGATGGGCAGAGGTGCCCAAGGCCTCTGGCTGGGGGTACCTACCTGGAGGAGACACACGGTCCCGGTACCTGGGTGTGTAGGGGCTCAGCGTGAGCAGCATCACATACAGGCAAAAGGCAAACATTCCCGCCAGGCATGTGTAGAAAATGAAGTAAAACAGTAAGATCAAGCCTGCAAAGGAGACAGGCATGTCGCTGTTAAGGCAACCAGAGCACATCCCGTGGGATGTGTCCCACAGGGATGCACAGACGTGCTCAGCACGGCGTCCTCTGCAGCTCAGAGCCTGTGGTGGAGGTGGGAGCTTGCACACCCAGCCCTGCACGCAGACTCTGGTGTTTCTGGGTGCAGGACTGTCAGCTGCTGCAGGGCTGGGGTAGCTGCTCTTTGGTTCTGCGTCCCTTTTGCTGCATGGCCCTTCCCAGAGCTGTGTCAGGACCAGGTCTGTGTGTCCACCTGCCTCAGCTCTCTCCAACAGACGGACCCAACATTCCCTCTTGCCCTTCTCACACCCTCCTGGCATAGTAGCATACAAAGGTACCCAATGGCTCCAGCCAAGCTCCTGATGGGGCTGTGGGGTGATCCTCCAGCCCTGATTCCTGTCCCCTGCATCGGAAGGACCCTGGTGCTGGGACTGAGCAAGCAGCATCGCTCAGGGCTGCAGCACCACTGACTGTTTCATAGCCCAGACATTCAGGGAATGGATTTGTTTTTCCTCTGGACCAGGCTGATGGCTGAGGATGTCTCAAGAGGCCACAGCCTATGAATAAAACCTAGCAGCTCAGAAAGCAAAGCTAAGCCCTAACCCAAATATTTCCCAGGAGAAACGTTCCGGCAGCTTGGAGGGAGCCCTGGGAACACAGATGTGCTCTCCTGCCGTGCTTCTGCCAGGGCCACCGTGCTGGGAACCACTGTGGGGTGTGTCCTGCTGAGGGCTAAGCCAGGGCAGAAGGGACCATCACTGCTGCTGGTGGCACAGAAGGGACAATGTCCAGCCCTGCCACAGTGATGCTGGATGGTGCCTCTGTCCCAGCCTAGCAGAGCCTGAGCTGCTGCTGAAGCACCGAATTGATGCTTGTTGGGACATCTTCCCACTACTGATCCCATTTTTATTTTTCCTACAGTGCAGCAAGGAGTGTTGTCACCAGCAGAGAGAGGGTGCAGCCTTACCCAGGGGCTGGGGCTTCCAGTGATGACCTTGTGGCCAGTTGTCTCCCTGCATTTGCTGAGTCTTTGTCCCCTGAGGCCCCCATCCCAGGGAACACCTTTTAAGCCAGCACAGGGGAGCAGCCCCAGGCTGGGAAAATTCCTTCCTCCCCACCCATGGGATGAGAGTGGGAAAGTTCAGCTCCACTCACCTCCAAATGCTCTCACTTTAAAATAAATTTTGATTTTCGTAGTACTTCTCCTGTCCCCATGTAGAGATACGTGAGCACATGTGTGTGCACCAAGGGCACGTATGTCCATAGGCAGGGGGTCATATAACAGGGCACAGTGATCCCAGGGGACAGGAGGATGCTGCACCCACCCCAGTGCTGCTAGCACTGCCAGCAGTAGCCTGCCAGGGTCACATCCACACCAGACTGAGTAAATCCTCTCACAGGGATCTTCTCAGGACCTGCAAGAGCCTCCAGAAAACCAAACCTACATCACTAAGGACTGTCATCCTACTGCTCCCACCCTTTGGTCCGTGCCTTCCCATCCAGCAAAGAAGCAGAAAAGCTAGTCTGCCTCTGTGGCCAGCAAAGGCCATAGGAGCACAAATGTGAATGCCAAAGTCTGTCCCAGACTCATACTTGCAGGTTTTCTGACTCCTCTGGTGCTGGTGGGCAGCTTTCTTTGTTTCTCCCAGCTGTCACCACATGCTTTGCAGGAGACCCAGAGCTCTTGGCTGGGGCACGGGAGGTCTGTGGGCCAGTGCCAGCCAAGGGCTGCAAACGCCCAGCAGCAGCCCCTGGTAGTTCACAGGCTTACGGATGTTCAGGTGGCTCTGGATCAGGCTGGGAATTTTCACTCTGCCAAGGGGGCTGTGTGCCAGCAGAACAGAGCTGCAAAGGTGTGTGGCACCAGGTGTGCTTGTGGCACCATGATTTTGGACCAAGCCTGCATCAGTGCTCACCCCACAGGCTGCTCGTAACCACCCAGGGCACCTCCAGACTCAGCAACAATTTTTGAAGGCCACATGGATGTGGGTAAAGTAGACAAGGCACTCCGAACCAGCAGAGCTGGCATATCTCAGTGCACTGCTCTGACAGCACTGTGGGTCCTGCTGTGGGCACCCTTCATTGCCTGGGAAGCTGTGGGGTGACAGTGCTGACCAGCCCTTCCCTTCCCCTTTTAGAGCCAGGGCTCACTCAGGCTGCTCTGCCCCATGGTGTGCACCCTCCACAAAAACCTGCCCCACAGCCTGAGCACTCTTCCCCCACCAACCTGAGGATGCCAAAGCCACTGTCCCAGGGGTCCCTGACTTACACAGGCAGGGACAAGAGTGCTGGTGGCAGCAGAGGTGCAAGCTGCAACAGGCTGACCTGCAGGTCCCATGCTTGCTCAGGCTCTAAACTTCTTTCTAGGCAGCCTGAAATCTTTGCTTTCACATTCTCCATCAGCATTAACCTCCAGACCAAAGTGACTTTTACATGGTTTTCTGCTTGTCCTCCTCTCTAGTTATTTACTGCACTAGTTAGGAACATTAACACTAAAGAAATGAGCAGAGGTGATCAGTCCAAGCTATCAAGGATATTCACAGGCAAGTGTATCTGTTGTAGAAGCAGAAAATGCAACAATCCCATAAAGTGGGGCTTGAGCAAGGACCTACCCCAGCTCTTGGCTGTTCTTCCCAAGCATGTTCTCTCCTCTGGGTTCCACAAGAATGTCTTCATCTCCCCAGCCAGGTCTGCCCAGGTTTTGCTCCCCATGTCTGCCTTAGGCTCGTCCTTCTCTCTGTCAGGATTCTGGACCTTCTCCTCATGCTTATTTTCCTGGAAGAGTTGCAGAACACAACCCCCACAGGCAAGCTGAACTTCTCATTGGCCAAAAATAAATGCAAAAGCACTTAATATCTGGAAATGTTTCAAATTTCCATTTTCCCATCATCACTCTTGAGTTAAAGAGAGGCAGTTTTGGCTGTTCCAACTTAAGATTACTTAGAACCCAGCACCCATTTTTCCATTACATGTACGTCACTGCTGTCACACTGGGTACTGTCTCCTTGTGCTGGCATTTACAGAAATTCATCTTTTTCAACCTGCATGAATATGACCAAAGAAAACCTGTGATCTGGGAAGGCTGGGACTGTTCCCACACTTCTGCAACATCTCTGAGTTCAAGTGCACATTCTCTGTGCTGCCACAGATGATAGCAGGCAGCAGTATTTAAGAGATCAAATTTGTTTTTCTTGGCATGTGAGCAAGTGTTCAGTCTTTGAAGAAATCCCTGCGCTGTTACTTTTTTAATTACACTGAGTTCCAGAGGAAAGTATCTCCCCAGGTTGCAAGAGTTTGTATTTTGCCTAAGGGGTGAAAACTTGTTTGTCCAGAACTCAGGAACACAAATCTCTCTGTACCTGTGCCTGGGCAAGAGTCACTTGAGACACGGACGCTGTACTTAATTCCCCTTGAATCCGGGCAGGTTTCCAAAAGCAGGCTGGTGGGAGAAGGCGCTGACCTTGCTTTCAGCTCGGGGCAGGCACCGCCGGAGAGAAGGGTAATGCTGTGATCTGGATGGGTTCATCACCTCCCCGCATTTTAATGCAAACGCTGCTGCAGGGTTCAGCCGCTCCGGGCTGGGTCAGAGCCGCTCTCGCCCGAACCTGCCACGGCTCCCCGGGGCTGCTGTGCCCGCTGTGCCTGCACTGCCCTGCTGTGCCCTCTGTGCCCACTGTGTCCCGCTGTGCCCGCTGTGCCCTGCTGTACCTGCTGTGCCCTACTGTGCCCGCTGTGCCTGCTGTGCCTGCACTGCCCTGCTGTGCCCTCTGTGCCTGCTGTGCCCGCTGTATCCCGCTGTGCCCTGCTGTGCCTGCTGTGCCTGCACTGCCCTGCTGTGCCTGCTGTGCCCTGCTGTGCCCTGCTGTGCCCTCTGTGCCTGCTGTGCCCGCTGTGTCCCGCTGTGCCCTGCTGTGCCTGCTGTGCCCTCTGTGCCCTCTGTGCCCTCTGTGCCTGCTGTGCCCTCTGTGCCCGCTGTGCCTCCTGTGCCTGCTGTGCCTCCTGTGCCCGCTGTGCCCACTGTGCCCGCTGTGCCTGCACTGCCCTGCTGTGCTCTCTGTGCCCGCTGTGCCCCGCTGTGCCTCCTGTGCCCTGCTGTGCCTGCTGTGCCCGCTGTGCCCTGCTGTGCTCTGCTGTACCCGCTGTGCCCTCTGTGCCCGCTGTGCCCGCTGTGCCTGCACTGCCCTGCTGTGCCCGCTGTGCCCTCTGTGCCCGCTGTGCCCTCTGTGCCCTCTGTGCCCGCTGTGCCCCCGCTGTGCCTGCACTGCCCTGCTGTGCCCTCTGTGCCCGCTGTGCCCGCTGTGCCCTGCTGTGCCCGCTGTGCTTGCTGTGCCCTCTGTGCCTCCTGTGCCCGCTGTGCCTGCACTGCCCTGCTGTGCTCTCTGTGCCCGCTGTCCCCCGCTGTGCCTGCTGGCCTGCTGTGCCCCGCTGTTCTCCGCTGTGCCCTGCTCTGCCCTGCTGTGCCTGCTCTGCCCTGCTGCTCCTGCTCCAGGCACGGATCCGCAGCAGCTGCTCTGCAGGATCGCTGCCTGTCTGCGCTCAGGGTAAACCTGCCAGCCACGATCACCTGTTGGAGGCAGGACCCACAGACAAGATATCTACAAGCCGTGGGTTGCCCCGGGCAAGCCGGGACATGGCCGACAGCTTGGCCGGAGCCTTGCTTGGAAACTCCTTTGAACTGGAGGAAAGAAATTAAACTCTGCTCAGACACACAAATCCTGCAAAACAGTGAGAACAGGGGGGAGAATACTGACTCCAAAGCCTGAACTTGTCCCTTGGGGAGCCTGGGCAGAGCGGGGGCTGTAAACCATCCCCACCCCACTGACTGCCCTGATGGGCTCTGAATAGGGCCCCGGGGGGGCTCTTCTGGGAGCACTCCTGCTCCAGAGCGCTGTGCCAGAAAATGTCCCCAGCTGCCTGTATGGCCAAGGCAGCGCTTGGCGCAGGTCCCACAGCCCAGGCTGGAGCCCTTCCTGAGCCAGCTCCTGCATGGCCTGAGGTGCAGGGCACACAGGGCACACAGCGCGCACAGGGTACAGGCTGATGAGAGCAGCGGATTTGGGAGCTGGGAAGCAGCAGCCCCAGCACGAGTCACCAGCAGGGACATGGGACAGGAGGTTTGGGGGCTGTACCCTGCCAGGACACTTGCAAGGGAGCAAGTGACTGATGAAGAGGGGGAAGAGGAGGTGTTCTTCTTCCCACTCTCCCCATTAAATAAAGGAGCTACCAGCAGATGTTTTGGAAACATTTCCTCAGACTGCCAGAGTAGGAGGGGACTGCCCAGATGAACTCCACACTGATGCTACACTGGGGAATGCCCTTTGAATTTCATACAAACTTCTACCGGAGGCAGCAAGAGCTGCCTCAGAAACTGCTGCCAATGCTTAAAGCTGTGTGGGGATATGGGGACAGCCTCCTCCATCATGGAACCTCACCCTGGGAACTGAAGGAAGCTTTTGCAAGGAGAGGAGTTTCCAGCTCTCCTGGCTCTATGCTGTGTGACCCTTCACTTGGTGAAGGGTCCTATCCTGCTGGGGAAAGGCCAAGAGGGCTCCATGGCAGCCCAGGGAGGCTGAGGAAGCCCCAAGCACATGCCATGGGTCTCTGTGGGGCAGCTGGGCAGCACAGGATGATCTAAGTACCAGGTCCCTGGCAGATGTCTCAGCTAGGAAGCTAGGTCAGGTCTGGAATGAAGCACAGG